TGCATGGAGTGGATGGTGTAGAGGAAAACCAGGTGTCCTGGCACCACCAGGAGGAAGAGCACGCGGGCAGAGCGGGAGTTCACGTCTGCAGAGGGAACATCAGCCACATTTACACCCTGCAAGTGTCCAAGGGCAGCTTGGGCAGAGCTTGGGAGCAGCCTGGGGCTCATGCAGGGTGTCCCTGCCCATGAGATGTCCCATTCCACGATCCCACCCAAACCTGCGTGCTGGCAGGGATTTTGGGGTGTCTGAGCAGGGCCTGGAGCCGCACTGGACGATCCAGAACATTCCACACCCACATTTCCCCAGCCAGCAGAGCCATGACCATCTGCAGAGCGCAGGAAAGCATCAGCCCCACACCAGAGCCACCCTGAGCCCCCTGTGCTGTGCCAGGCACCAAACCCTGCACCCCAGGGCTCTACCTGGGCTGAAGAAGGTGCTGCAGGGGCTGGGGCACCTCCGAGGAGCCGTCCCGGGGCTGTCTCCGGGCTCCCCGCTCATGTGCAGGTAGGTGGAGATGCGGCTGGCCTGCACTGCCACCAGGTTGCCACCCACACCTGCAGGGCACAAACAGCACTCAGGGCACAATAAACAGCATTCAGGGCACAAACAGCACTCAGGGCACAAATAAACAGCACTCAGGGCACAAACAGCACTCAGGGCACAAACAGAACTCACTCAGGGCACAAACAGCACTCAGGGCACAAACAGAACTCACTCAGGGCACAAACAGAACTCAGGACACAAACAGAACACTCAGGGCACAAACAGAACTCACTCAGGGCACAAACAGAACTCAGGGCACAAACAGAACTCACTCAGGGCACAAACAGCACTTGGGGCACAAACAGAACTCACTCAGGGCACAAACAGAACTCACTCAGGGCACAAACAGAACTCAGGGCACAAACAGCACTCAGGGCACAAACAGAACTCACTCAGGGCACAAACAGCACTCAGGACACAAACAGAACTCACTCAGGGCACAAACAGAACTCAGGGCACGTCCCAGATGCTTCCAGGAGCTCCCCTCAGCTCCTGAAACTGAGAAGTTCCAGCAGAACTGGAAGCACCCTCAGCTCCTGAAACTGAGAAGTTCCAGCAGAACTGGAAGCACCTGGGATTATGTAGGATGTTCTTATTTTTGATCCCAAATCGAGTTTTACAGGATGTGAGGAGCTGGGGCAAAGCTTTCCCTGAGTAAAGCTGAAGCAGTTCTGTTACTGCAGCTCAGGGTGGAAGAAAGAAGTGAAACAAAAGCGATGACTTGAGCACCAAAACAGACACAGGAAGTTGAAAAGGATTATTTTTCACAGGAAGCTGTGAAAGCCACCAGCACGAGATGCACTGGCTCAGAGTTAACTTCACCTATTGCAAAAAAGCAATTAAAAAGTGAGTTTTCCTGGTTCATCAGGCAGAAATGAGGTGAAAACTTTACACCAGAACCAATCAGATTTCCTGACTCCAAGGCGCAAATATAAATCTTTGTGTTGCCACAAGGCAAGTGTTTTGGAAGATGGGGATGTTCCACCAGAAAGGAGGAATAAGGAAATGAAGAAGTCCCCAGAAATGTGGTTTTTTTTAGGGAATAGCCTCCCAGGCCTTTCACCTGAACCTGTGGGACACCAAAGGAGGATTTTTGTCCTGCAGTTGCAGTTTGGCAGGAGCTGCAGGCCGGGCTGGGGCAGGACTCACCGTTGATGACGGGAGTGAACACGGCCATCCCAGCAAAGTTGGGATCCGACACCGTCCGGTCCAGGATCAGCCCCCCGACACTGCAGGGGGACACGGGGGGGTCAGGGCTGGAATAAACCCAGCAGGGAGGCTGTGGGGACAGGGACAGGACAGGGAAAGGGGACAGGGACAGGGATGGGGACAGGGACAGGACAGGGACAGGATCAGGGACAGGGATGGGGACAGGGACAGGATCAGGGACAGGGACAGGATCAGGAACAGGGGACAAGATCAGGGACAGGGGACAGGGGACAGGGCCAAGGCCAGGATCGGGGACAGGATCAGGGACAGGGCCAGGATCAGGGACAGGATTAGGGACAGGGACAGGAACAGGGGACAGGATCAGGGACAGGACCAAAGCCAGGATCAGGGACAGGATCAGGGCCAGGGCCAGGGGACAGGGCCAGGATCAGGGACAGGATCAGGGACAGGGACAGGGGACAGGGCCAGGATCAGGGACAGGATCAGGGACAGGGACAGGATCAGGGACAGGGCCAGGGGACAGGGCCAGGATCAGGGACAGGATCAGGGGACAGGGCCAGGATCAGGGACAGGGGACAGGGCCAGGGCCAGGGCCAGGCCCACCTGCTGATGGCCATGGCGATGATGACGGGCTCCCAGCCCGAGTACAGCACCTCCCGCGTGGCGGAATTCCTCTTGGCAATGATGACCCAGATGGGCAGCAGGGAGATGAAGAAGGCGCACACCAAGGGGTTCACGTAGGCTCTGCTCTCTGGGCAGGGCGGGGAGGAGGAAGAAGAAGCAGAGAAATCAAGGCCAGGCCCCTCAGGAGCTCCAGGAAGGGCAGGGAAAATCCAGCCTGGACTCTGCAGGACGTGGTGGCTCCTTGTCACAGAGGGGTGAGCTGTGAACACTGGGATCTGTTTTACTGGGATCTGTTTTACTGGGATCTGTTTTTACACCAACACTGGGATCTGTTTTACACCAACACTGGGATCTGTTTTATCCCAACTGTTTTACTGGGATCTGTTTTACCCCAACACTGGGATCTGTTTTACACCAACACTGGGATCTGTTTTACTGGGATCTGTTTTACTGGGATCTGTTTTACCCCAACACTGGGATCTGTTTTACCCCAACACTGGGATCTGTTTTACAGAAATATTGGGATCTGTTTTACTGGGATCTGTTTTACACAAACACTGGGACCTGTTTTACCCCAACACTGGGGTACTGGGATCTGTTTTACTGGGATCTGTTTTACTGGGATCTGTTTTACTGGGATCTGTTTAGCAGCAGATCTGAGTGAAATCTCTTCAATTCCAGCTGCTCATCCCCACCTCCCACTCCTGGGCAGGATCTCCCCAGTGCTGCTTCCTTCACCCCTGGGTGAACCTGGCTGAGTCACAGCCCCGAGTGCCGGGGAAGGGAGGAGGAGGAGGAGGAAGGAGGAGGAGGAAATTTGGAGTCTCCAGCTGCAGCCCTGCCCTGAGGATCCCCAGCTGGAGCTGACAGCTCAGCAGATGGAATCCAAATCTCCCTTCTCCCACTGCTCCAGCCCCAGCCAAGCACCTGGAAGGGGCCAACCTGTCCCTGAGCCCTGGAGAGGAGGAGGAGGAGCACAAGGCAGGGAGAGGCTCCATTCCCTCCCCTAACCTGGGCCAGGTCTCGCTGAGGGAGCTCCAGAGCAGGAACCCCACACACCCCAGGAAGAGACAGGGCACAGGAAGGGGCTGAAACGAGAGGGAGACACAAAAAGCCTTTTGTTGCTCCTCACCCAGCTCCTTGTACAAGCCCCAGCTGATCCCTGACAGCAGGGCCAGCGTGATGAGGTCCCCCAGGCTGGCAGCGATCGGCGTGGCCACGTTGTCAGGATTGATCCCCATCTTCCTGGAGCCGATGATCACCCCAATCATGATCATGCCTGCAGCCAGAAAAGAGGGAGAAAATCCGGGGTAAGGCCGAGGGGAGGTTGATATTTCAGGAGGAGGCGGCCAGAGGGGGTGACTCTCACCCAGGACGAGGGAAGCAATGAAGGCAGTGGCCACGCTGCTGGCACACAGCAGGACAGCGTGGGCCAGGCTGAAGTGCCCGTCCGGGATCCACCCAAACACCACGGCTGCAATCGAGGCCAGGAAGCCAACCACGGTGGCCTGGACCTGGGAATGGAAAGCAGAGGGTCACCAAGACACCAAAACAGCACCGAGTGTGGGCAGAGCCCAGGGAAGCTGTGGCTGCCTCATCCCTGGGATGGGGGAAGGTGTCCCTGCCCATGGGAAATGGATGAGCTTTAAGGGCCCTGCCAAGCCAAACCATTCCATGATTTTATTCCATGATTCTAAGAGGGAAACCCCACCCAGGGGGGATCAGAATCCAGCATGGAAACACCCAGTCCAACCTGCAGGGCCACAAAGGCACCGCCTGCCTCCCTTCAGACACAGAATATTGACAGCAACCAGCAAAACCCGGGCATTTAAACCTGCCACACTTGCCAAAATCGGGTATAAATATTCCCCTTCCCTCTCTCCTTACCTGTATCAGAGCCATGTTCCCTGTAATCATCTTCCAGAGCTCTTTG